AAAGTTCTTTATTTTCTGGGAACTTTTTAAGGTTTAAAGTATTATAAGAAAATACCTAATACTTAATTAATTTATTAAATATCTTTAAGTGAAAAATAAAACTAAAAGGGTAATATTTAAAAAATACGCCTTATTAAATTATTAAGGATGTCATCAAATTTTTAATAAAAATGTGTACATATTATAATCATTTTCAAGGTTTAAAAAGAGAGAACAAACATAAAGTAATTTTTACGTAAATATGTGGGATTTAATTTGTTTTTATTTATTAAATTTTGTAATTTTTCGATTTTTTAACATAAAAAATATTAAGTAAACATGTAGGACCTACATTGTAGGTAGTTAATTTAACTTAAAAGTTTTACCTCCTTCCAATGCTACAAAATTTATATGCTAAAATCTGATGTAATTTATGTTATTTTGTCATATTCACAATCACAATTTCTGAAATTTCCCGTTGTGACAACAACAATGCAAAATTCACTTTTAAAAATAATTATATTACAACTATTCGTAATAATAATTCTGAAAAGTAAATGAGATAAGCATAATTATTTCCTAAAACAAAATAAATTCCATTTCATTATCTATCATTAAAACAAATTTGCAAAATCGCTAAAACTGCTAAAATTAACACAGGGTGTTTTGAAATCTTTATTACACATTAGAAATATTATTTTTATTATAAATGATCTTTAAAAAACCTTCCACAATGTGTTCCTTAGAAATTACATAAGACGTTTTAAACGTAGGTATACTAGAAAAACGATTTCAAAACTGTTACTTGATATCAGGGCCGTTTAGCGAACAAACTAAATCCACTTTAAAAATAAAAATTTTGGATTACGAATAAAAATGACAAAATAACTAATTTTTATATCTAATACATATATAGTTTATAAAAGGTTTAAAATAACCACACAGACAACATTTTGATAAATATGTCTCATATACAACTTTGTATATAAAAAATAAAACATTATAAAGGTTACTTATATAAATTTATATAAGTAATTTCGCCATAATAGGATATTTAAACTACTAACTATTAAACATAACCGTAAATCACATGACCTTAGTGACGAAATTGTCAAGAGTCAAGGGCAATATATAGGGTGATTATAAAAATATATTCTATTTACTTACCTAATAAAAACATGTCATCAATATTAAATAAAAAAATAACCAAATTATTAAATAATTATTAATAACAATACAGTATTCATTTATAATTGTTTATATCTGCTTATTTCCAGACACAATAATTAAAAACAATTGATTAATATTAAAATAATCATTCTTATTACAAATACAGTTATACCTACATGAAATATTTAAATTTTATTATATAACTACAAAATATGTAAACTGCGCATAACTCAATGTGTCGCGACCAAAAAGTTCGTTTTTTTTAAACGACATAACTTTTTTGTTTCTTGAACGATTTTATTTTGGTCTCTGATGTCTGCTAGCCTCATCCTCTGGCACTTCATTCTATAGATATGAAGCTCACGGTTCGTCAAGTACATTTCCTACAGGGTTGGGTATATGTTAAACCGTAAAAAATTGCAATAACTTCATCCAAGCCCCGTTTGTAAAAAAATAATTATTTTCTCGTTTTTACTTTGAAATAATGAAGTATTATGTATTACCTTGAAATGTTTTTCAAATTTTTCGAATTGGAATCTTAGCAAGGAAAGTATGATTTTTTTCCAAAAGAGTACATTTAAGGCTTTTTGTAGGCAATACACTCAGTCTTTTTAGGAACAAGAAGATAAGATGGTGAAAGATTGTTCCTTAAATAATTCTGAACAAGCGACAAGCAACAAACTTCCGTTATTTTCAGAGGGCCTAAGCTAAGACCACTTTTTGAAAATGACATTTTTGTGAAAATTTGCAAAAACCAAACCTAAACCGATATTTACGTTCGTAATATGTTTTCTTCATAATTTTGACCTCCTGATTGTGATTCAGTTAAATTTAAGTTTCAGTTAAAACCAAAATCACTAAGAATCAAGATTCGAAAACAATTTCCGGCTGTTAAATGTCTCAATAAAATCCGATTGCTGGTTTTTACTGTTTTTTACTGTGTTTTGCATCTTTAGTGCGTTATTATCATGTCGCTGAATGATGAAATCGAGGATCAAATGATGAAAATTAGTTCTTGAAAAACATTCAAAACGTATTATAAGGGATATTCTTGATTTTTTTAGTTTGCTTGTGTTTTTCCAAATTTCGAAGTTTTTTTTGCATAAGTTATACGTACCTACCTACATCAAACCCAGGTTACTTCCATTCTTCCTTTAAATAATTAAAATGTCAAGCCAGCTACAGGAATTAACATCTCCAAATTAACGGTTCGCAGAAGATTGCACGAAACGGGAGGCAAGGCTGGCTTTTGGAGGTGGAGGAGTGACTGTTTGGGGTGGAATGGCGATGAATGGAAAGAGTGAATGCTGGGAGATTTAGTTGTTATTGATATAGTGGTCCCTTATGCTCAATATGTTGCCAATAATTGGTGTTGGTGGACGACAATGCCCGTCCGCACCGCGCCAATATCAGAAATGAGTATTTAAGGGACCACCATATTGAGAGAATGAAAGAGAGGGAAGGACGCATGGAAAATTTGGATGAATTGGTAAATGCTATTCAGAAAGAATGGGGTACCCCAGGAATTTTTAAGGAACTTCGTCGAGGGAATGCACTGGAGGGTTAAAGAATTATTACGGGTTAGGGGAGGGCCAACGAAATATTGAAAGTTATTATTGTTATTATTTGTTACATTTTCTGTTGAATGTTCTAGTTTTGATTATGATGATATCTACGCATAAAATTTTCAAAAATAAACAAAAATATTTTTTATTAACTTTATTACCAATTAGGTAGGTACTTATCAATGATGTTATCACTATCACTCAAACAAATTGCAGTAATTTCGCCTAAAAAATGAATCCCCTAATGGCATTTTAATGAAAAATTTGCAAGAAACACGCCAGCAATCGGATTTTCTTAAGACATTTAAAAGCCGGGAATTGTTTTCGAATTTTGATTCTTGGTGTTTTGGTTTTATCTGAAAATTAAATTTGACAACTGAATCACAATCAGGAGGTCAACATGCCACGAACGTAAATATCTGTTCAGGTTTAGTTTTCGCAAATTTTCACCAAAATGTGATTTTGAAAAAGTGGTAAGTTTGTTGCTTGTCGCTTGTTCAGAATTATTTAAGGAAAAAACTTTCACCATCTTATTTTCTTGTTCTTAAAAAGAGTGTATTGCCTACCAAAAAGCCTTAAATGTACTCTTTTGGAAAAAAATCATATTTTCGTTGCTAAGATTCCAATTCGAAAAATTTGAAAATCTTTTCAAGGTAAGACATAATACTTCATTATTTCAAAGTAAAAACGAGAAAAAATATTTCTTTTTTTAAACGGGGCTTGAATGAAATCAGAACTGGGCAAAGCACTCAAAAAAAGTGCTTCGAGCACCAAACACCAAGCCCTTTGGAAAAGTAATTGCCAGCACCAAGCATCAAGCACATTGAAAACTTTAAGTGCTTGCAATTACCAATTACCGAGAAAAGTAATTGAAAAATTCAATTACCAAGCACCAATTACTCAAAAAGTGCGTGCAAGCACTTTTTTCTTAAATAAATTACCAATTACCAAGCACTTTTTAGTTTTCCAATTGCTTCCTACCCAATTAATTAACATCTTTATTTTAAAAATAAGAAACATTTTTGGATGATCGTTATATTAAAATATCCAAACCAAACCAAAGTTTTTTGTTTTTAATTTATTAGTCCACACAACATGACGCAAAACAATTAAAGTGAAGAAATCATCAAAAAATAAGTACAAATTATCTGCAAGAAGGAGAAAGGTACTGGCCAAGTCGGCCTTCAACCAACCAATCACATTAAAGCTTATGCTGCACCGCACACCGCATTAGATGATGATGAAACCACAGGGTTGTTACTAAGGGCATTTCCATCTAGAGTCTAAAGTGCTCGGGAGCACTTTAAATGCTTGCAAGCCCTCAAATCTGATAGTGCTTGCAAGCCCTTTAGTGCTTGCAAGCCCTTTAAAGTGCTTGCAAGCCTTTTACGTGCTTGCAAGCACTCAAATGGCTTGAAATGCGAAATTCAATTACCAATTACCAATTACCAAGCACTTTTTATAAAGGGCTTCAATTACCAATTACCAAGCACTGTATTTTAAAAGTGCTTGCAAGCACTGTGCTCGAAGCACTATTGTGCTTGAAGCACTTTTTCAAGCCCTTTCAAGTCAATTACTGCCCAGCTCTGGATGAAGTTATTGAAATTTTTCACCGTTTAGGAAATTTACATGAAGAACCGTGGGCTTAATATCTATAACATGAATTACCAGAGGATGGGGTTAGAAGACCAAACAGACCAAAATAAAATCGTTCAAGAAACAAAAAAGTTATGTCGTTTTGAACTTTTTGGTCGCGAAACATTGAGTGGTGCGCAGTTTAGTTGGCTAATTTATTTATAATTGTTCATTAAAATAGCAAAATTATAATGTTTAATGATGATTATAATAAACAATATTTAGCGTTTAGCGTTACTACTTACTTATTTCAAACACGTTTTAAAAAATACTCTTAAATGGTTTAAAACATTAAAATAAGTTGTAAATTTAAACATTGCTAAATTATTATTATTATTAAATATGATACTTGAGTCGCAAAAAATAGTTGCCAAGCACAAATTATTTGGAAAATTTACAGTTAATTTTGCCGTAAGTAAAATTTATTTCAATCATCTCATATGACAGGTGTACTGGTTTTATCTATAAATTATTAGTTCGCTTAATTAAAAAAAGAGAAACTTGTTTTATGATTAATTTATAGTTCATATAGGATATATTTGCAAAATCGTTTAAGAAAATCTCTTTACAATTTGTTTTTAAAATTTTTAATGTTTGTTTATTAATATCTAATTAGACAATGCAGTTTTTATTATTTTATTTATTTTTCAGATAAAATTTAAATGATCTCAGACACACACTAAATAAAACCAAGCAAAATATGGATCCAATAGGGTAAGCATTAATGTTTTATTTAATACAACACTTGAAACAACTTTAAAATTCTGTAAATACATTTTTATGTGTTTTTTAAATTTTAAATTAAATTTTATAGTTTATTTTATTACATAAATGTATTTATGATATATTAAAGTAGTAAAATTTTAAAAACATTTAATTTATTAATTCATATTTTTTTTTAATTTTAGGGCTAGCTGTTTCAGTCTACAGTAAGTATATTTTAATAGGAACCTTTTTTTAAGTGTCTTTTTGGTACCTAAAAAATAAAATAATTTGAAAAAACATTATTATTAATATGGATCTAATCTTGACATTTTGCCAAAATTTTTAATTTTTATAACTCAAACTTTACTAATTTTAGAGATTTTACTTAAATGACCTTTTTTGTTGACGACCAAATTTCCTACAAAAAATTTTACCTAATTTTTTTCGTTACATGTCAACCGATTACAAGTTAATAGCAAAAAAGATCAATATCGTTGTAAATTTAACTTTAGAGGCTCTCACATTTTTGAAATTTTTTAAAACTATACAAATTTTGAAAATTTTCAAATTTTTGATAATTTGAAAATTTTAAATTTTAAAAAAAATTTTGAAAATTTAAAACGTTTGAAAAATTTTAAAATGTGTTTGCACCAAATTTGGTTAAAAATATCTACTCGTTATATTTGTAAGCAACAACACAAACGTACACAAACAGAATTTTTTTTTCAAATTTTGAGTTTAATTGACTACCAGCACTATGACTATGATTTTGTTAGTTTCTACCTGATTGGTCCAAATTATTCTCAGTGAGAATTTTACATTAAAAAGTAATATCACGGTAATATTCCCTAAGAGAAGTAGAAGTAGAAGAAAAATCTTTTACTACGTTGTACCAGTTCTTAAAATTAATATTAAGAGCTCAAATTTTGACCGAATTTTCATTTAAACATTTTGAATGGGGAATAAAAAAATATGTTCTTTTCAAACAAAGCACTCTTATACTTACCTATAATAGCAAATTTTAATTATTTGAAAAAGTAATGTTAACATTTTAAACACCAATAAAAAAATAATGAACAAACCATTTTATCCTTGACACTGACATTTAATCTAACCATCATGTTTTCTATCTAGGATCTTAAAATTAGTTACGTATGAGTCATTCCAAATAAAAACACCAAATGGGGTGCGCTGCGTGATTTTTTATTTTGATGAAAAAATTTGAGGATGATCTTTAAGGTGTCAAATATGAAAATCCGTTGCCGTTTTAATTTTTTGTTGCTTTACTTTTATTTGGCACCCCTTAGAAGTCTGAAATTGTGTCAATTTCTTACTCTCTTATAGTGGGCCAGAACTTTTTTTCTGTGACAAATATTGAAATAATTTTAATTTTGTTTTACTGTCCAGTAAGTGTGATTTCGATATAAATTATTATTATCCAATTAGTTAATCTCATTAAGGAATGGTAAACCACTAAAGATTCATGATAATTTGCCAATTTTTGTGATTTTTGTCTGGCTCCTGTGCCTATTCTACTGAATTTAGAAGGTTCATTTTTTTCAGGTATAAAGTACTTATTCAATAGAATACTTAACTATTATTTTAAGTTTCTAGACTATCAATTTCTTTATTAATAAAATTATTGAAAATTGATAATTCTCAAAATTAGCCAATTTTGCCCTCAGAAATCATTATGTTGAGGAAAAAATAAAAATCTGAAACTTTCAGGAAATGTATTCCCCACCTTCATCTTTTTAGTCCAGTTAGTCTTGTTTTGTTATTTTTATTCCTTTAAAAGATATATTAATTTTTTTAATGCCCGTTTAGTAGCGATATTGTTAGTTTTATTAATAATTTAAAATTTAGATGGCTTTCATGTTTGGTGGAGAAGTGTCAGAACTGTCAAAAATATTTCATAAATGTGCGTATTTCTTTGGTAAATTTTGTATATAACATAATATGTCATATTATGTTATATATAAAACTTTTAAAATCACTAAAGGAATACCACAAATAATAATTATGAAATATTTTTGACAGTTCTGATATTTTTGGTAGTTATGTTATATTTTATGTATTGAAAAATCATCAAATTTTTTTAAATTTAGTAAAAGAAATAATAAAAATTATAAATGGTATAAAACCTGTAATTCTTGAATTTTTTTAGTAAAATTTGAAATTTGTCGATAAACTTTAGTGAATTAAATATTGTACCACTTTAATTTGAATTATCTTAATTTGGAGGGGCAGGAGGCTGGGGGTTGCACTTAAAAACTAACTTTTTTTCGCAAACTTTAATTTAAATTCTGCTCGCGCAGATCCAAGATCCTTATGGTTTATATCGTTAAGTAATATCGTTAAGTAATAAGTGAAATTAATAAAGAGTTAATTTAAACGTATAAAAAATGCGTTAAGCAGTTTTTTGTCGGTTTCTTTCACAATTTAAACCAAGTTAGTCTTGTTCTATTATTTTGATCCCTTTAGTAAGGCACTAAATACTAAAAAGTTAAATGTATGTATTTTAAATGTTAGTGTTGGAAAAAATTTACACAATCTGTAAATACTTCTTTAAATTTTAGTTTTTAGGTAACTGGTTAAAATAAAACATGTTATAATAAAGGGGTTTATTTAGAATATTTTTTGGTTTTTGCTTATTTTTAACAATTTAAAACTTCTCAGAACTTAAATATTTTCTATAAGAAAGAGGTACAAAATTATGATATGTTCTTGCATTTTTAATTGCAATTAAATTCATGAATCTCGAACACTCATTTATTACACTTGCAAACTTTTTGAAATCACAATTTAAATACGCACAAATAAAATTTTTGAAATATTTTTGACAGTTCTGACATGTCTCTAACAAACATGATATGACAAAGTCAAAGCCATCTAAATTTTAAATTATAAATAAAACTAACAATATCGCTACTAAACGGGCATTAAAAAAATTAATATATCTTTTAAAGGAATAAAAATAACAAAACAAGACTAACTGGACTGAAAAGATGAAGGTGGGGACTACATTTCCTGAAAGTTTCAGATTTTTATTTTTTCCTTAACATAATGATTTCTGAGGGCAAAATTGGCTAATTTTGAGAATTATCAATTTTCAATAATTTTTTTAATAAAGAAATTGATAGTCTAGAAACTTAAAATAATAGTTACGTTTTCTATTGTATAAGTACTTTATACCTGAAAAAAATGAACCTTCTAAATTCAGTAGAATAGGCACAGGAGCCAGACAAAAATCACAAAAATTGGCAAATTATCATGAATCTTTAGTGGTTTACCATTATTTTATGAGATTAACTAATTGGATAATAATAATTTATATCGAAAACACACTTACTGGACAGTAAAACAAAATTAAAATTATTTCAATATTTGTCACAGAAAAAAAGTTCTGGCCCACTATAAGAGAGTAAGAAATTGACACTATTTCAGACTTCTAAGGGGTGCCAAATAAAAGTAAAGCAACAAAAAATTAAAACGGCAAGGGATTTTCATATTTGACACCTAAAAGATCATCCTCAATTTTTTTCATTACAATAAAAAATCATGCAGCGCACTTTTTAATTCATTTTTGGTGTTTTCATTTGGATTGACTCGTATGTATTCAAACCGGTACATCTGACCATCCCATATAACCTATACACTGTATAATATACAGGGTGTACAGAATTCCTTATCGTATTTACAAATAGTAAAATCCGCAGTTTTGACTGAAGTTTTGATACATCCGGTATATGTATGTACATTTTACATATGTATGTGATATGCATGACCGTGACCCAACCTATGTCAGTACAAATTTAAGATCGATTGTTTTTATGTATTTCACGGTCAAAATTGGCATTAATATTACACGAGGTATTAGATACTAGAACGAGTTTATTCGTTTTACCAGTATGAAATAAATTTAGTTATTTTTTTTATAAACATATAAGATTTATAATAATTATAATTTAACCACAATTAATCAAATTTAACAAAGTCCAAATGAAAAAAATTATACAATTCACTATAATTTAATCAACTAAGTATTGCTTGTGATTTTAATTACAAAAATGACTAATATTACAAAACTACGGAAACGTTGTAGTAAATATATTGATAAAAATGAAAAAATGTTTTATTCATAATAGGAACCTTCGGTTTTATTGCCTTTATTTAACAAAGTAAATTTATTAATTCTAAGAAAAAAACTACATTTCATATTTTAATTCAAACTATTATCTAGGTATCTATTCTCTATGGTTATTTATGTCATTAGACTGAGAAGTGAGTCTTTTTGTGTCTTTTTGTTCAAAGTTTAAATTGAGCAATGCACTTTCCAGCCAAATGGCATACATATCTTCAAGGCCAAGGCAATAATCAAACACTTTAGTAGTGAATATTGACAATATTAAAGTTTAAATTATAAACCGCTTAAAAATAAAATTCTTTTCTAATCTTTAAATTTATTTAATGGAATTAAAACAATTTTATGTATATTTGTTTATATGAAATATGATTAATACTATAGTACTTTAATATAGTAAAATACCTATTGTATAATATGGATTGTATACACCATGATACTCTTATGTAGTATCATGGTATACCATAAAAGTGTATACTATCGCTAACAAAAAAAACTCATACAGCTTAAAAATCTAGTGTTCCTGATTTTCTATCATTTCGTTGGAGTAATTATGGCTTTTAACATAATACGTCACATTTGAAAGGTCTAAAATTAAATACAAAGTTAGGTTGAAGTTTGAAAAAAAAAATATTTCGTCATCCCTCTGTTTTTTCAATTACTGCCCGCAAACGGCATGGAAGTCGCCGTCTTGCTTTATCTCGTTCCAAATGGCTTCAATGGCTTGCCAGAGTTCGTCTGCATTGTTTGGTTGAAAATGTTGTTAAAAAAGTCATAATGGATGTGGCAAAGCTCGATGTCAGCTTGACATTGACGGAAAAGTTTTATTCACACAGCCACAATATAGCTGTATGAGTTTTTTTTGTTAGCGATAGTACATACACTTTTATTAAACTTATTTTAACTTAAATAACATGTTTAAAAAAATATAGATTGTTTTTAACTATAAAACTGATTTTATATCCTACGTTGATGGCATTTTAGTCAAGGGCTGAAGTTAGCTTTATTATAAATTAGGGTAAAGTAATGTTAAATCCGTTAAAACTTGACAAATGTCAAATGTTTAACAAATAAATTATACTATGCAACTCGTTTTATAAACTTCTCTAGACACTTGTTTTTATTAAACACTCGCTCGCAAGCTTCGCTCGTGCCCAATAAAACTCGTAACTAAAATGGCGTTTATAAAACTTGATACATAATATAATATTATTATTAAACTATTGTTTGTACTAAAAAACTCATTTTTACAATAAAACTTACTGTTAAAAGAACTTGTATAAAAAATAATTATATTTTTAAAAAAAGTTATTATTTTTTACAAAACTGGCTATTTTGTGGATTGTAAAACCTTACTTAATCTGTTTATAATTTTATAATACCAATTACCTATATTTTAAAATGTTTGTTATGTTGATAAGCATATTAATTATAATTGTTTTATTTTCTCTTATAAATATTTACACCTTAAATGTTTAAATATGATTTTAGTATACAAGAAAATGAAAAAGCCATTTTGGAGCAGCAAAAACAGGACGAAAAGTTTACCGAAATAATTGTCAGCTGTAGATCCTTAAGTAAATATGAAGCGAGGACATTTAAAAGTTTACTACCACAAGTAAGTATGGGCAAGTCGGACAATCTAAATTTAACCCAGATAGCAAACGTGAATACGAAATCACGCGTGAGTGAATAATGTGTGCTATATGATTTCACACGTGAAGTCTTGAACTCGTAATTCACACGTGAGTAGATTATGAATTCATATTATAGTCTCGTGTGATTTAATCGATTTTATTTTAAAATACATGGATTGCATGATTAAAAACTGCACGTTTAAATATAAATAGAATATTAATATTCTAATATCAAAATATTACCTGAAATTTTATTTGAAAAATCCAAGTATTACAGATTTTATACCATATTAAATATTTTTTTATTATAATAAAATAAATAATAAAAATTTAAAATCGTATAAAATCTGTAATATTTATATTTTTTAAATAAAATTTTAAATTTGTCGATAAATATATATATATATAAATTGCACCACTTTAATTTGAATTATCCCAAATGGGGGGTCCAGAAGCCAGGTAAGGCGACACAAAAAACTAACTTTTTTTCGCAAACTTTAATTTAAATTCTGTTTGCGCAGAACTTGTCTATTTAATGTCATTATAAACTATTATAAATTTGGAGTGGGTCCCACGTCTAATAAGTGAGATATTGGTATACCCAAAATCCCCACTCCGCCACTGATATATATTATTATAATTATATATATTATAGTAATATATATAATTACATAATATATATTGGTTTAAAAGGTCACAATTATATGTTATAGGTACATTAATAATTAATATATGTATATTATATATTAATTAATTAATTAGTTAACCTTAAGGTTATAATTGTAATGTATAACCTATAAAACCAGATAAATCCATTTTGACTTCTTGAATGATTCATATTTCTTTTATTTGGATAAATCAATTGGAAAAGTGAATTTCAAGATAAACTTATTATAATAATCAGGGCCGGCTTAAGGCAATCCAGCGCCTTAGGCACTTAAAAATTTGGCGCCTATTACTAGATACTATACCTATACTATACAATCTGGTAGCTTAAGGGCGCCCGGGCATACTTAATTTATTATCCCTTATAAATTAAAATATTTTTTATAAAAAAAATACATATAAAACATAATTTAAAAATGTTTAAGACGAGTTATTGTTTTAGACATATTTTGATTTAGTCTGTAAGTAATATCTGTAGATATACCTACTCTCTTAAACTAAATAAATCAAAAATGACTAATTATAAGTCATATTTGAATTATTGTCATAGCGAGAAAGCAGTAACTAATAATTATTAGCAGTCACTAATTATAATTAGTCAAATTCTACGGAATGAAACAGACAAATTAGTAGACGCACCACTGCTACTTATTAATTTATGATATCTGTCAATAAATATTGTTTATAATATTGTTAAAGTTAAATATATTTTTTGTGTTGGAGCTAAACTTTTTGCATCTTTATTTTTATGGACCATGGAGCCTATATGCATTTAATGCCGCAAGAATTAAAAACGATTAAAGAAATCAGTTACTTATTACTCTCAGTAACAGTAAAATATGGCGACTCATCTTAAATTAGTCCAACTTTAACTAATTAAGTATACTAAACTAAAAAATAAATATTTAAAAGTAAAAACGGCTATTTAATTAGTAAACAATGCTGATACTAATTCAAATAGTATAATTTTTACTATTTCATTTCAAGAGAGTAAATAACCATATTTGGTAAATTATAATTATATATATATATATATATATATATATATATATATATATATATATATATATATATATATATATATATATATATATATATATATATATATATATATAATATAGGTAGTTTAAATAAACTTAAATTGACTTAAGAGTTAAAAAGTAGTTTAAAAAGGGTAAAATAAACCAAAAACTATCAAATATTAACTTCTTTTTAACCAAGTTTAACCAGTGGTGCTACTTGGGTAGTAAGTATTTAAAAAATGTAAAACAGCTTTAATTCCCTGTAGTTTTATGTAAGGCATTACACCGCGTTATTACAAAGGAAGCCGCTGTTTTATAAAATAATAAAAACAGTAAAGAATATTCGGTGCTCTACCGTTCTCATAATTGTATATAGTTTATTTGCTTTATTTTTTGGAAAAATAAACCATTTGGTAATAATTTTTTAAAGTTGGTTGGGGACAATGCGCCTATTTTTTTGTGGCGCCTAAGGCAATTGCCTTGCCTGCCTAATGGGTAATATGGCCCTGATAATAATATATATATTATATACTAATATTAATATTAGTATATAATATAATAATTATTATATAATATTAATATTAAAATTATGATCATATCATATTATGATAACAAGTTTGGCTTGAAATAGATATTTCCAATGGATTTATCTGAACAAAAGAAATAGGAACCATTCAAAAAGTCGAAATGGATTTATCTGGTTTAGTCTGATTGCTTCTCAATTATGGCCTTTTAAACCAAGTTTTTGTGTATTTTTTTAAGATGTTAAAATAAATATTTCGACAGATTAAATTATTTTGAAAAATGAAATCCATATTCTAAAAGCGCATGCGCAAAAAATAAAAAGTTCACGCGTGATGGCAAATTGAGCATCAATTGAGGACTCATCTGTCGCGTTATATGAATTCACGCGTGAATTTAATTTTCACGCGTGAATTCGTAGTGAATTCATAGTGAATTCATTTTGCTATCTGGGAAGTTAAAACACATATTTTCTAGCACATTTCAACAAACCTAAGTATTTTTTTAAATGGTTATATTTTAGTCCTTTTTGGTAGAACCTTTTAAGGATTATTTTAAATCTTACTTTTTTTTAAACTAGACTTAATTTTAAGATTTATCAGTTCCTTTCAAACAATAGACAAGTAACTACCAATCGCTGTCGCTATTTGCCACTCGTTCGTAGCATTACTAAGATACCTAACAGAAGAGACATAAAATGTTGGGAAAAGCTTTATATTAATTTTAATAAAATAGTTATTTGTTTTACAAGTGTTGAAAAGCGACTTTTTCATGCGTGTGTTTAAGTTGCTCACGAGGCCGTTAGGCTCACGAGCTTGAAGAAAGCTTTTCTCACAAGTGAAATACAATGTCCTACGACGCTTTTATTTTTTATTATTAAAAATTATTACAAAATACCGCGCGCCTAACGTTGGCTAACGGAGGGTTCAGATGCAAGTCGGCACGGGTTCCCGTTTATAGAATGAGCTGAAATTTTTACTGGGAGTATATAAACACGTAATAAATATAATTAGAGGGTATGCGTAAAAAAAATAAAAATAAGGGACACCCTAGTATACAGGGCGTATAAAATTGTATCGTTAAATTTATGTTTTGGTCAAAATATCTTAATATGCTTAACTTAATTCGATTAGTTTATTTGGCTTAAAAAATTATAGTATGAAACTCATTTATAAACTTTTCTAGACACTCATTTAATTAAGCACTCACTCGCAAGCTCGCTCGTGACTAAAATGGCGTTTGTCAAACTTGACACATAATATACTATAAAATGTTACCTATTTTTTTATCAAAATGGTAAATTTAATGATTACATTTAAGGTTTTGTAATTTTTTTAATGTGAAATTTGGTAGATTATAGCCGAATTTAAGCTGCACCAAATAGATGTGAACTCCTATACCATATCTAAAAAAAATCTTAATTTTTTTAGATTATAGCAACAATGATAGCCGGCTCCTACCACATAGTAGTTGGTATATCTCTAGCATATTCAGCCATCTTGATTCCGCAACTTAACGCCACTGGAACTGATATAGAAATAACGAAAAATGAAGCTTCTTGGATAGGTAAAAATCATCCAATTGCAAAAAAACAAAATATGAAACATTTTTTTTCTCAGCTAGTGTAATAGTGGTTGTAGTACCGGTGGGAGCAATTTTAGCAGGATTTTTTATGGACTGGGTAGGCAGACTGAATACAGTAAAATTGGCAGCTATACCTGGTGTTATAGGATGGACCCTTATAGCTACAGCTACAAACGTACCGATGATAATTGCTGGAAGAATATTGACAGGTCTAGCCACAAGTAAGTACATTTTTAGGTCACTAAGGTAGTTTTGAGAAAGCTTTAAAACTGATGTAAGGTTTTAGACAATTTTGTATATTTTTTTAGCATGGGGTTCAAGTCCAGCAGTGGTATACATAACAGAAATTGCAAGGGCGGATATGAGAGGCTCCCTTATATCCTGTGCACCTGCTTATGCTTCATTAGGAATGGTTATAGCATATTTAAAAGGATGGTTTTTGAACTGGAGAACCGTTGCATGGTATTGTAATGCGTACAGTATAATACCATGTTTGTTGATATGGTTTCTACCTGAAAGCCCTGCGTGGTTGGTTTCAAAAGGAAAAATTGAGGAGGCTTCAAAGTCGTTGAAGTGGATTAATAAGTACCAACCTCAGCCCCCAAATCAGAATGAAAGCCTTGCAGAACTGCAGTTAAATCAGCTTCAAAAAGAGCACCAACAAAAACTGGAAGATCAGGCCAGAAATGGTGATGGTGGTTTAGTAAAAATAAAGGCGTTCTTGAAACCTACAGCATATAAACCACTAATAATACTGTTTGGTTTGTTCTTTTTCCAACAGTTTTCTGGAATATATATAACGCTTTTCTACTCAGTATCATTTTTCCAAGTAAGTTATTAGTTATTACTTTTGGTAAATGCAATCTTATTTTGTAGCCTATTATGAACCTTAGATATCTTGATTTTGGTCACTTGTCAAAAATGCACTAATAAAATTTAAACAGGGTGTTACTTTTTTATCAATAAATTTTCTTGTACGTTCTTTAGGTCATATAAAAGATAATGCAATGCTTTAAAACATTTTTTTTTATTTGTAAAACCCATCAAAGAATTTTAAAAATACAGACTGTTTTCAATGGCTAAAAATGTTGGTTAATTTCAAAGGGTTATAACTTTCAACGTTTTTGTTACTTTTTGGTAAATTTTAATTCATTTTACAGCCTATAATGTAAACTTTTTTTGTAGTTTTATAGATATCTTTATATTTTTGGTCAATTGTCAAAGATGCACATGTAAAACTTTTTTATTAATTAATATTCCTGTACGTTTTTACGTCATATAAAAGCACATTTATAGGGTTTAAAAAAAAACAAAAACCATCAAAGATTTTTAAAATTACAACCATAAATGTCTAATAATAGTTAATTTTGAAGTCTTATAACTTCTAAAGTATTTATTACCCACTTTTAGGTAAATTTTATTATTTTTTTAATTACAGGAAGTGGGAAGCACTATTAACCCATACTTGGCCTCCGTACTAATTGGTGCAGTAAGATTCTTTATGTCGATGGTGAACACATATATGTTAAAAACCTTCAGGAGAAGACCTTTGGTGATGACAAGTGCTGTTGGTATGACAGCTTGCATGGCCATCTCAGGTTTGTTTACATCATGGATTCTCAGTGGTAAATCGGACCAAAGATGGGTCCCTGTAGCACTCCTTTTACTCTACGTGATCACCTCTATGATTGGTTTACTACCAATTCCATGGACAATGACGGCAGAGTTGTTCCCCATTGAAATTCGAGGTGTTGCCCATAGCATAGCCTATAGTATAGCGAATTTACTTATGTTCGCCTCAGTTCAATCCTACTACGCTCTATCAGATTTATTTGGAGGTAGCTCAGGAGTACAATACTTTTTCGCTGTAATCTCCATATGCGGAATGGTGTACACCTTCATATTCCTACCGGAAACGCACGGGAAAAAGTTGACGGAAATCACCGATTACTTTAATCACAACACTGTTTTTCTGGGACAAAAGAAACCCAAATCCAAGAAAAAAACGCAATCCAGAGTCGGTAAAAAAGACATCGTCAAATCAAAAATCGACAACACAAAATTAATGCAAGTTTAAAAATGAAAGGGTCGTCACTGGTGCTCTAATTTTAACAGTGTGATCATAAAGGATATACAGAGTGTTAGTTTTTTTAATTTGTCAAAAACTATACATCACTTAATAACGAATACTTAACAAATACTTAGACAAATTTACAGATCAGTATTTTCTGCCCTTTTTTAATTTATTTTCCCTCAGAATTTGACAAGTTTGTGCTTACTACTTATTTTTTTAATATGTTAGGTAATAATTTGATAACAATAAAATTTAGTAATATTATATATTTTTTAATATTTTATCCTAGTTTTAATTATATTTCGTCGCCGTGGAAGTTAAGCCACAAATTCGGAAAAATAGAGTTAAGTATACAAATTGCTGTGGTCAATGTTTTTAGGCCTCAAAATACTCTTATTTAGAATAATATATATTGAATTTTGCCAACCGCTTGACCTCCACGGCGATGATTTATTACAAATCAATGTGATAATTTGTACAAATAAACGATTGTATTCTATACAATTGTTTTTATTGCAACCCAAATGGTCTACCTCGTTGTATAGTCTTAATATACTTAATAATAGTATATTCTGTAACAAGTTGGAATATTCCGCTCGAGTGAAAAGTTTGTTACACGAGCCGAAGGCGAGTTTAACTGTTTCACGAGACCGGAATATGCAATTACAAACGTTTTTCAGACTACACTTTTTCTACGTTTCCAAAAAATACCATAGAAAAGTAATTTAATTGAGAGAAAGTGTTTATCCCGTCAGAATAATTCATTCTGTAATACTTTCAGGAATATATATCATTCTACATTAAAGAGTAATATTAGAACGGTCATATTCCGTAATAACTACTTCTAGAAGTAGAAAAAACACATTATATTTATTAAAGTTTTTAATTTTGGTAATTTTATGAAGGCAATTGGTTAAATAGGTTTCTTGCTAAAAAAAATTAGATAACTTCTATTTTAATTTTATAAACTTTCAAAGTAGAATATTTTTAAACCAGAAATTTGGCTAAAGATTAAGTTTAAATACACCTACGCCATATTTTTTAAACGACATTAATAATATATGTTTTGAAAATATGTTTAAAGTTACTCTTTATCCATAACGTTTAGTCATAACGTTTTATACGAATAAAAACAACACTGTTTTAAAGTTTCACTATTTTATTTATGTTTTTTTTTAAGTAACAATTCTTTCGCTTCTTCAAAATAAAAACAAATTTTTATTAAGTGGCGGCGGTATTTATATTAGCTAATGCAGGTATTTGAAAAAATACGTATTGTACATATAAACATTATACCTGAGGGCATTAATTAAACTTACAGAATTTTGAAAATACTATGGATTCGGAAATTCCTATCTAATATAATTTTACAATATTAATAAATATTATTTTTAGTACTACAGGTATACATACTAAAATAAATTTAGCAAAGAAAAGTTTTGTTGGTTTCAATTTGGTCATTAGGTACAGTAAACACGGGTGACTTTGCACCCCGCGGGTGACTTTAGCCCTTTTATGAAAAATCTTTTCGCGCTCGATAAAATTAACATTTATAATTTGTTGGTCTAAACCTGCCAATTGAGCGATTCTATTAAGTTTATATTACAGGAAAATCAGTGTTTAAAAAAGTAAATGGGGTTTATTACACTTTAAAATTGTATATATTGCATCAGTGCAAAACTCTTAAAAATACACGCGTTTTCCCCAGTAGCACAAAATATTGGTCCTACACGGAAAAAAATAATCGGTAGAGGCTACCGATTGGCAATCGGTAGCAGCTACCGATTGCCAATCGGTAGACTCTACCGAAAAAATCGGTAGACTCTACCGATAAAATCGGTAGTCTCTACCAAAAAAAAATCGGTTCCCTCAACCGATTTTTATCCGTAGCAGCTACCGATTATTTTCGGTAGAGTCTACCGATTTTTTCGGTGCAGGCTACCGAAAAAATCGATTACCAATTTTTGAAAATTTTTGTATTTTTTTAGCGAGAAGTTAAATACTCGCTTTTTATTAAATAGAAAATAGTATTTTTTTTTTAATACTAAAATCACCAATATGCATATGTACATGTACATACCTAGAAATATATGTAAATTAAAATTATATTTACATATAAAATAATTGACAAAACTGTATGTATTTATAATTGGATAAATAAACTTTCTTTTAAATAGATGATAAAAAAACCCATTTCTTTGAATAGCATTTTTTAATAATTACAATGAATACCATCTCAAAATGTTTGACTGAAAAGAGTAATTTTTATTAACTTGAATAATGTTTAATATTATTTTTAAATGTTAATATTTTTAAGTATTAATATTTTTTTTTAATTTTCTAACAGCGCATCGATGCGGATTTTCTCGGTTACGGCTACCGAAAAAATCGGTAGACTCTACCGAAAAAATCGGTAGACTCTACCGAAAAATAATCGGTAGCCACTACCGATAAAAATCGGTTGAGGGAACCGATTTTTTTTCGGTAGAGACTACCGATTTTTTCGGTAGAGTCTACCATTTTTTTGGTAGAGTCTACCGATTGGCAATCGGTAGGTGCTACCGATTGCCAATCGGTAGCCTCTACCGATTATTTTTTTCCGTGTATATGGGGCGCATATATGCCCAATATTTTATCTGGGACCAATATTGGATTTATTTAGCCGATGTTGGCCCTATATTGGCATAAAATGGTTATTTAATATATCTTGCCAATGTTTATCCAATCTTGGTCCTATATTGGCATATCATTTTACGCCAATATATCATTAAACATATTTATCCAAGATCGGTCCAATATTGGCATATCATTTTAAGCCAATATATCATTAAAAATATTTATCCAAGGTTGGTCCTATATTGGCATATCATTTTACGCCAATATATCATTAAAAATATTTATTCAAGGTTGGCCCTATATTGGCGTAACATGATTATCCAATATATCATAGTCGATGTGTGTGCTATGTTGGCCCCATATTGGCGTAAAATGATTATCCAATATATCATTGAAAATGGTTGCCCAAGGTTAATCTTATATTACCCCTACATTATCGTAAAATGATTTTCCAATATATCAATGTCACCCCAGTAGCACAAAATATTGGGCCAATATATTAACTACATTGGTAAAATATTGTTTATTGGCCCAATATTGGCAATCTTTAGCCAATATTGGTAATTTATTGGCATTACCACCTTCGCATTCATTTGATTTTAATATTAACCCAATATTGGGCCAATTTTTATGAAACATGTTACTGAGAAAAAAGCTTTCTATATGTGCTTATATTTCATTCAATTATGGAATAAATCTTACCAATTTCAAACTAAAAACATAGATTCTCTTTTTAACAATTAAACGGCATTATATATAATGTCCCATTTTCTAATATTGGACCTATATTGGGTATATATTGTGTAGGGAAAATTCTGTAGTACTGACAACACTTGTACAAAGCCAACACATGCTGCGCGCGCTCGCCGCGAATTCACGCATACCAACAACCGGGTGGAAGTGAAACACATGTAAAAGTTTTTCTTCGTGATATCTATACCTATTTATCGATTGCAAATTAACAAAATTTGTATCCTGTGCAAAGTAAATGTAAGTACCTATATACAATTTAATATATTATATAAATATTATAACCATGAATATCCAGAAACTGCACTTGATGGAAGAAAAAAATACTGAAATGCCGGTAAGAATTATGTTAAAAGTTCGATACAAATTATCACGTTGTTTATTATAGGGTCACCGATTGTACCTTTGTGGTGGGGACACTGCCCACAAGGCAGTTTTTCTAATAATGAATAAACTTTTATCAATGGAAGTGGCTGTATTTAGGGACTGAAAAAAAAGGAAAGCTATCCTTTCGAAAATTATCTTGTCATTTGGCTGTAATAAGTAAGTTTTTTTTAATTTTTGCAAAGTAAATTATTATTTATTTTTCTTTATAGAAGCTATCCGTAAACGCTTCCCAACTTCAGAACTAAACAATTCCATATCCCTGTATTTGGCGGGGCGTCAGATAGAGGGGGGTGGACACAAAAACAGATAATATGTTTTATGATAGTTTGTAACATCATGGTTTATGTATGTGTTTTAATGTTTTATGTAATACATAGACCAATAAAATATATTTTCGTTATTTAAAATTGAATTATAAATATCTATTTTTTCTATTCCCAAATTTATATATATATATATATATATATATACTAGGGGTGTGCCAAAAAACCTCGATATTTTTTTCTTCTTGCTCTCAACCCAAAATATCGTAGAATATGTCCGAACAAATATTCTGTTAAAAGCGGAGCTCATAATTTCAATTTTAAGAGGTCCTCCATCGAATCTGAAGTTTTGCCGCTTAAATAACACAGAAAACTGACTTTTTTACCTTATTTATTCTTGCAACCTAGGAAGAAATTTTTTTTTCATAAAATCCATGACTAATTCTTACAAAGCATTAAATTTGGACAAAAAAATCTTATTAAGCTGAATTTCTATTTTCAATATTTGATTTTTTACAGAGCTTTAAATTTAAAGTTAATAATACAAAAATGATGACTTTATACGCCTGTAACTTTAAGAATATTGACGATACAAAAAATTCGCCTAAAACTTTTTTATGGTCCATCAGACAAGCTAAAAAATTGCCATTTGACTTTTTCGTCTAACTTAAATAGTTTAGCTGAAAAAGGCAAAAAACGTAAAATTTTAAATTTAAAGCTCTGTAAAAAATCAAATAATGAAAATAGAAATTCGGCTTAATAAGATTTTTTCTTCCAAATTTAATGCTTTGTAAGAATTAGTCATGGATTTTATGAAAAAAAAATTTCTTCCTAGGTTTCAAGAATAAATAAGGTAAAAAAGTCAGTTTTCTGTGTTATTTAAGCGGCAAAACTTCTGATTCGATGGAGGACCTCTTAAAATTGAAATTATGAGCTCCGCTTTTAACAGAATATTTGTTCGGACATATTCTACGATATTTTGGGTTGAGAGCAAGAAAAAAAAAATATCGAGGTTTTTTGGCACACCCTAATATATACCCATGTATATACATCAAACTTTATAATTTAACGTAAAAAATTTACTTTATTTACAAACTGAAATGGTAAAATATATATCACCTATATTGGGTAAATATTGGATCATTATTAAATAAAAATATAGGTCCTATATTTGCAAACTAAAATGGTAAAATATATGGCACAAATATTGGGTAAATATTGCATTTAAATATTGGATCGGTATTGAATACAAATATTGGTCCTATATTTACAAATTAAAGTGGTAAAATAAATGTCACCTATATTGGGTTAATATTGTATGTCAATATTGGATCAATATTTAATACAAATATAGGACCATTAAAATACAATCTGACGTTTCCATCATTGGGCCAATATGTAAAAATAATATTTTACCAATATTGGTGTGCTACTGGGCTTAATTTCTACATATATTATGCGCAATTCTTTGGAATGATT